AATCATTAGAACTATGCTATTTCTTCGACATTGCTAATCAGGCCCCTTTCTTCATCTAGATAATTTGTACAAAATGTTACTTGACATTGTTTACTTTGGGTTTTCTGATATAGGACATCATTAATCATTTGGACATGTTCGGTTCTGAGTGTAATCACAATCAAACTGCATTTTGTTTCTGAAATATAAGATTATAACCAAATTCAATTTGGTTTCTTCCAAGTCATCAGACATAAAAGCCTCAATTTCTCGGTTTCCCATCAGACTTCTGGTTCCTTGTACCGGTAATTGAATCAAATATGTATCGATTGGTTTCGTAACCCTGGGAATGGAACCATACTGAGTAGCTGAAAATGAAACTGAGCCAACTAAGCCATTTGAAATGAATTCCCATCAGAATTTTAAGAAGGAAGATATATAGTTATATTTCAGATAACTTTGTGAAGAATGTTACTATTAATTTTTTTTTTTCTTTTGTATTCTTCAAGCTTATGTATTTCTGTATCATGCAAGTCATAATTATTTATTTTTGGAAACTTTTCTAACAATATGTTCGCCTCTAGATAATTGCAATAACCGTTGAAGAAGAGGAGGATGTTACAAAAATTAAAGACTATCAGCCTTCAACATCAGATTCTGCCCCGGAGCCCAAAACATCACCTACTCCAAGTCCACTAAAACAAGAGACTGAAGCACCTCCTTCTACAGAAAGTCTCATTTTTACCAGTCCTCTTGCCAAGAAACTAGCTGAAGATCACAATGTACATTATATGCAAGAATAATCTTATCAACAATGTTTCCTTGGAAAACAAGAGTTAGTTTCTTACAGCGTCTTTCCTGTCTGAAGATCACAATGTACATTAACTTTCTTGAAACTTAATAAATTTCATACACAACGATATTGATATTGATGAAGGTAAAACTGTAATATTCTTCTTCATATCTTTTCCAATGACGATGCATACATTTATAGGGAAGAATACAAGCTATATATGGGAAATGGGGTCTGTTATAGGAAAGTCTATAAATGGAAAACTGTGGCTTGATTTATGTGATTTGTTGCTGTGATTTGTGTTGTGCTGTGCTGTAATAAAACTTATGATGTTCGTTCATTGCAAGTTTGCAACACTGAGGTACTATTGATGCTTTTATCCAGGATGGACGCATGATTGCCTCAAGCTTAAATTGTTTAATCAACTGGCTGCTGCTAAAGGAACTTCTTCATCTGGCTTCCAAGATGTAGTATCAACAGATGCTGCACAATCATGTTCTACGTCAACTGAAAATGTCCCTAAAGAAGCTTCATCACACTGCTTAGGTACATCAATTCTCGCCCTATAATGAAAGTCATTTTCGGTAGAGGTTTTTTTTTTTTTTTT